CAACTGCATGAAGAATACAGGCTCTCTCTTTGTCTGCTGCAGTTTCCCCCAGAAAACGCATGATCTATTTAAGTTTTTTCTTCCGTTTTGTATCATTTTCACAAAAGTCTCACACAGCTTCAAACTAGCTAAAATAAAGGCCTCTCAGATCTTAAACCACTCTGGACCCCCAAACCTCTGGACAGCTTCATGTAAACTTGGACTTTACATGAAAGTACAGGGGACAAAGACCCCATTGCATAGATTGAAAAGACTGTCGTATCCCTTATATGTGTAACTGAGCACTTTCCTCTGCAGATATCATCTCATCAAGAGGTCTGCTCTGTACAGTACAGGAATTGGAACCCCAGTTCCAAGGAGCTTGTTGCCATTACGTATCAGACAGGCACTTTGCCTTTAGCATCTTTTCCATGCCTGTTGGTGCCCTTTCTCTTCCAAAAAACCTCTTAAGTGGAGATTTTTATTCCTGTTTTTACCCACACTCGGTTTAAATTGTATTTATATGTGTGTTTCCATTTTTAAATTTTTTTTTACTGTTTCTACTTTTAAATTGCTTAAAGGTATTTTACGGGAAGCAAATAATAAATTAAACAAAGAAATAGACCCACAGCCCCAGCTTCTGAATTCAGTTATCCAAGTAGGACTAGAACCACCTAAATGCACTGCCTCTGTCAAGATCTTGTATATACCAGGCCTGTTCTCAAAACTTTGGTTTAGTAAGGAGCTTACACTTCTAGCTAAAGTGCCAAAATCAGGAGAGAGCAGCTTCTCTTTCTTTCTGCTAGCGGCTAGCTTTTGCCAATTCATTGCACCTGCATGATCTAGTGCCTAGTCTGCTAATTGGCCAAACATTTCTCAGCCAGGAAGTCACAGGTTCATCTCCAGACTCAAGAGTTTTGGAAAGTTATAGCATAAATTCCTGTATTGCAGGGGGTTGGACTAGATGACCCTTGGGGTCCCTTCCAACTCTCTAACTCTATGAAACATCTTCTGATCGGCAGGAAAGAATCAAGGCAGCTGCTGTGCAAAAGGGTGTAAGTCACTTCTTCATCCCACTTTCAGCCCCATTGTTTGCATTGCTTTCCTGATGAGACACCTGAGCAACATCTCCTTGAAAGTTGGACAAGTATTGGTAATGTATTAGGCTAGTTAAACAGTTAGCTTTAATATTGTCTGTGGGGTTGTTTTTTTATTTTCTAAATGTTCTTAAATTCTTAACCAGTATTTTCCTTATTCCTTTATTCATGTTTTGTAGCAAGTTGTCATGCTGTGTTGCTATATTAATTATTAGTTATATTCTTCAAGTTGGTGTATTTATTTTGAGTAAAGCCTCGATTCTATAAACCAGTGTCACGTCTTTCTCTGTTCACATTGGCTGCTGTGTAATTTGGCTTATTCTGCCTGAGGCTTCAAATAGCAGAGAGGGGTACTTTTAGCTTTGCATCTTGTAGGTGTCTGGCATGCAACCTGAATCTCCTGGCTTCGGCTGCTTGGACAGAAACTGAAGTGGTGGCAGCTACTACCCTTGAGGGTTGGTTTAACCCTGGGTTTAACTTCTGAATCCAACAGAAACCAGTGCTGACCTAAGTCTTGGGTCAAGCTGGGCTTCCTTAGCAGCCCCCAGTTGTCAGTCTATTCACCCTATTCAGAAGCATAAAATGTCTGTAGTATCAAAAGCTGCCAAGAAGTCCATGAGAATCAACAGCATTGCACTCTCCCCCAGTGTAGGTAATGCATTAAGGTGACCAATGAGGTTTCAGAACCAAATCCAAATCTTTAAATCCGACTGAAAGGCATCTTGAAACCTTCTCATCCAAAATGTCTGAATTTATATAGCAACGGGTCTTGCCCAGAAGGAAACGTTGGCAACCAGCTGATTATTATTGAGATTGTCATGGGCATTAGTGTCACTGCCTCTTTTAATGGAGCTGAGAGCATCCCTCTTGCTCAAGGGGGTATTTACCAAGTACTCCATGAGGAACAAGTGCACATGTGGTAGGCCTTCCTCGTCCAAGCATCTTGCCCACATTATCAGGCTGCAACAACTGGAAGTCATTCACCACTTCTGGATCTGTGAGTGATCAGGACACTTCCATAGACTTATCAGAAGCAACAGCTGAATGGTGGTGTGATGTGTGTGTTGCAATGGATGTGAGCAATGTGAGCCTCAAAATGTTTAATAAACAACAACAATTTTATTAGTTATATGCTGCCCATTTGACTGAGTTGCCCCAGCCACTCTGGGTGGCTCACAACAAAATATAAAACACAATAAAACATCAACCATTAAAAAACTTCCCTGAACAGGGCTGCCCTGAGATGCCTTCTAAAAGTCAAAATAGTTGTTTGTTAGAAATCTGACAGGAGGGCATTCCAAGAAGGCCCTCTGCCTGGTCCCCGGTAACGTCACTTCTCGCAGTGAGGACACAACCAGAAGGTCCTCGGATCACTTTGAATTATGCTTGGAAACATACTGGAATCCAATGTAGATACTTTAGGACTGGTGGTATATGGACCTGACAGCTGCTCTCAGTCATCAATCTAGCTGCTGCATTCTGTATTAGCTGTAGTTTCTCAGTAACCTTCAAAGGTGGCCCCACATAGAGCATATTGCAGTAATCCAAGTGGCAGATTACCACTCTGGTGAGACAGACTGTGGGAAGTAGGGTTTCAGCCAATGTACCAGATGGAGCTGATAGACAGCTGCCCTGGATACAGAATTGACCTGTGCCTCCATAGACAGCTGTGAGTCCAAAATGACCCCCTAGGCTGCACACCTGGTCCTTTAGGGGCACAGTTACCCCATTCAGGACCCACTGTCCCCCAGAAAAGTACTACTGTCTTGTCAGGATTCAACCTCAATCCATTAACCACCATCCATCCTGTAACAATGTGCTTCTCCAAGAGTAACTTAACATCTGCAGATGGGCAAGATTGAAAAAGACCCCAAACCACCTGGAAAAGCTCTACTGGATGTCACTTAGAGGATGTGATAGTGCCAGAGAATGATTTATCATTTTAAGTCTTCCCACTCCCAGCTAAAAACCTTCTTTGCTATCACTGCTGTCATTAAGCAAGCCCAATATCTTCTTACTAATGTTCAGACTCAGAGTGAGTTCCAGCCATCTTTCCCAGCTGCTTCATTGCCCTCAGCTTGCCAGCTTTTCCAACATTGTACAAAATGCAAAAATGATAAAATTTAAAAGCCTCATTGGATGTTGTTATTATTTGTGCTATTCCTCATTATGGTGAACTTGAAACCCAAGTTGACTGAAATAGCAAGGGCAGAAAGCTGTCATGAAGTTCAGCAAGCGCAACTCAGGCTTATCATTTCCTATTAGCATGCCGAGATAAGGCCAGCAGCTGCTCCTTCTCTCCCAAGTCTAGAGGAATGCCAGAAAAAAGCAATTAACTTCCCGGACATCAGCAGGCTTCTTGACAGAATGATCATTCTTGATTATGACAGGCAATTATAGCACAAGAATTTCTCTGGACTTTACAAAGCCAAGTCAGGGTCTTGGAAAGAAAGACAGAAACCTATAAAAATATATATTATGCTCATAAGACATAGGGAAATCATAGAATTGGAAGGGACCCTGAAAGCCATCTAGTCCAACCCCTGCAATTCAGTAATCTTAACTGGCTCATACATGACAGATGGCCATCATGACAATCATAGCCTCAATATGAATATGACTGGAATTGTGTTTATTGGTGGTGGAGTCCTTCCTGTCCTTCAAGACTAGGACATTTTGGAGCATCCTGAGAACTGGTGGCAGTGTAAAGATAAGAGAAACAGGCACACATGGATTTGCAGTGTAGTCAAGTGAGTCTGGGGATTCCTGATAAAGGTGGAGATTTGAATGATAGGAATATTTATTCTGGCAGAATTGGGAAGCAATCTCTTCCAATACGTCGAAGTCCTTTGGGGCCATGGGATGGACAAAGGGGGTGAGCCCCATGAACCAGGAGCAGCAAGGAGGCACTGTGACCTGGTGTGCTGGAGCTGGTCGTAGGATCTGGAGAGTCAGAATAGGGAAAGGTGGCACCCTGCAACGGGACAGGGAGAATTATTTTTTATAACATAATAACTGCCACTATCTCTGCTACATTTTAAAACTGATGGTTATTTTCAGCAAAAGTGTTTGGGCTCTTGGGAATCAGCTGGATGGGTTTGTCCCTCAAAGCCATTCGCATTTGACATCCCGGCTTTACAGAGGAGCATTGTCTGTTTCTTTGCTGCTCTGTACATATTACCACAAATCTCCAGAGCTCCCCCTTCACAAGGGAGCTCACCATGGGCAACATGAAGCAATATATTTGATCATGACTATATGCCTCTGTACATCTTGAAGTTATTTCTTAAAAAATGAAATGAAGGTTGCAGTGCCATACACTTACTTGGAATTAAATCCTGAGTAGATTGCATTGTGAATTCATTACACCATTGCTAAAAGTACTTCTATGGAAGACATTAGCATTAATTCCTTTCCATGCTTGCAGCATTTTCTGAAGCCTGCTAAAACACACTTGAAGATTCTGCTTTTCTGGCTTTCTGCTGTGACCACAAAACTACTGGAATAAAATCTAAAATATTGTCATAGATGGGGGGGGGGCTCCTAAACCTGAGAAATTAATAAATGGTAGGATTTTGATTATTTGGAGTATTGAAGGGAAGACTGCAGTCAGTGGAAAAATACAGGCCAAGCTTCCTTTCCAAGCCAGGGTTTCACCTGGGATAAAGGTGATAATACATATGTGAATAAATCATAGCTCTTAAAGCTACTTCAATTCTCCAAAGGAGCACAGTGGGATGGCACCACACTTTTGTAACCATATTGTAAAACACAACCCTAATTTGAGCAGAAATACTCCAGGGCTGCCAGTGCCTTTTGAGAGTCAGGGGAGGCTTTAGGATATATGGTTTTATTTACACATATATACAAGCCAAGCATAGGATGGAGAGGCTCATAGCATTAGCACCCCAGAAGATATTACTTCTCCATTAGTCACAGCTTTGAATTTAGCACAAAGCAAGCATGTCTCTGTGTATTCAACTTCCAGCTCAGCTCACACCCAAAGCTCAGGCTATTCTTCTCCCACCTAGCAGCTAGGGGAGTGGGGAGGGCACAGAGCGACTTCTCTGGTTAAGCTAATTGTGGTGCTTAGTCAGCCAAAGCCAAAGGGACTGGTCTGGAAAGCTTGCCATTATAAAGTCTACCCATCCACAGGAACACAGATTTGGAAGGGGTACAGGATATAATCCAAACTGACCCCCCAAATTCATAACAATATTCTGACATCAAAACCCCAGCAGAGGTCCCATAACCTGCAACAAGTCAGGAGCAAAACAAGGGACACACGGAGTTTATATGTTGTACGTTTCTATGTGTGGGGTTTTATGGGGAAGGGGATTGCAAACAGTGACTTCAGAAAAGCACAGGGTGATATTTACCTTAACAGTGGACCTTTAAAAAACCAAAAGTAGTTATTAAAAATACATTTTGGTATTGGACATTTTTCATACATAATGTGAAAAAAGCCTTTTGTATCAATTCACTGCACAAGTGAAAGCCACAAGCCTCTGGTGCAGACCAGCAGTTTCAAATTGCAGCCCCCCCCCTTGTTCCAGCAAAGCCACCTGAAGGGCAGTTGTTCAATCCAGAAAGAACCAAGAGATTGATTATTATATATTGAAAATAAAAGATAAAAACAGCCAGGTAACTTCTAAGAAGGACGAGTTGTTGGACTGAACCTGTTTGATGGCTGTGGGCCTGGCACACTACGGGGGGGGGTGCGCTTTGGGCAGGCTTCGCATCTATGCCGTGAGCTGGCCAGGCCCTCCCTCCGGAGCCGGTGTCACTCATTCGCCGGCACTGGGCGGGCTGCCCGCCGGCCAACCCCAGCATCTCACAGCCCCCGAAGGGAGCGCGGAAGCGGCAAGGGAAACAGTGCAGCCAGGGGGGCTGCTTCTCCCGCCAGCTCTTCCGGGCACCTGTTCGGGGCGCCGGCCGGAGAGAGGCGCGCTGCTGCTGCTGCTGCTGAAAGGCAGCTCCGGGGAAGGCGGCTCCGGCTCGCCCCTGGATGAAGAGCAGCCGGGCGCCGCGCAGGTGCGCAGCGTGGGGCGGCCCCCCGGCGCCCCCTTTCCGAGCCCTCCCTCTCCTCGCCCCGCTCTCCCGATGACGCCGAGGGGCCGGAGGGGCCGCCGCTCGCTCCCCCCGGAGCTGCTGGTCTACTGCCTGGTCTTCGGCTTCTCCTTCCCCCTGATGGTCCTGATGCTGCTGCTCTGAGGAGGATGCAGCTGGAGCCCCCCGGACCCCTCGGCGGCGGCGGCGGCAGGCGGGAAACGCTCGGCTTGGCCGCCCCGGGGCTGCGTGACGGCGGCCTGGTCGCTCTCGCGGGTGGGGAGAGGGGCAAGATGAGCAGGCGGGCTCTGGGGCTGCCCTCCGGCCTTCTCCGCCCGGCCCGTTCCTGAAGGACTGATCCGGAGGGGGAGCTTGCGGCCCTCGCCCTCCTTCGACGGGACTCGCAGCCCAGGGAGGAGGCGGCGGCGGCGGGGGCGCCCCTGCCCCGAGACCCCCGGGCCCGGCTGAGCCCCCGCCTCTGGCGCCTCTCTGGCGCCTCCTCCCTCGGGGCCGCGCGGGGCGGGCGCGTCCCCGCGATGGGCGAGGGCATGTCCAAGAGGCTGAAGGTGCAGCTGGGCGGCGAGGCGGAGATGGAGGAGCGGGCCTTCGCCAACCCTTTCCCGGACTTCCAGCCCCACGGCGCCGCCGCCGCCTCGGCCAGCGGAGCCCCGCCGTCGCCCAGCGGCTCCGAGGAGGGGAAGCGCGCCCGCCCGCCCTCGCCCGGCGGAGACGGAGACCCCCCGCTCTTCGAGGCCGACGGCAAGGTGAGGGCGGGGGGGCTGGGGCGGGGCTGGGGCGCGACACCCCCGGCTGCCAGGGGCGCGGGGGGGCAGCGTCGTCTTCCCGGAAGGCTGCGCAGGGGAAACGGCCACGTGTAAATACAGAGATGGGTCCAGAGTGAGAGCAAAAGAATTGCCGCCTAACCTCTTATTATTATTATTATTATTATTATTATTCGTGCCCGCCTTCCCTCCCGCCCCCAACTCCTCGCTTCGCCTTCCCGCTTCCTTTCCCCTCCCCCCGCCCGGCTCCTCGGGGCCTCGGGGCCTTTTTCCCTCGCGGAAGTTGCGAAGAGTCGGCCGGAGGGAAGTGGCGGAGCTGTCGGGGTCGCTGAGGAGTTTTACGCGAGGCTGCCGGGTTGGTGGGTCTTTCGTGCCCCTTTGGCGGCCGCCTCGCGAAGCAGCAGCAGGCCGGCTTAGTAGGGACTTGGGGGGCTGCGCCCGCCGCCTCTGCTGGGCCTCCGCCGGCCTCGGGGGGCTGAGAGGTCTCCGTGGAAAGCAGTGGCCTCACGCAGAAAACTAGCCCAACCGGGTCTCTGAATAGAAGCTGCTTTTCTGCATTTTTCTTTTAAATGTGCTTGGGGGTGTTATTGATCTGCTCTGCTTCGTTCTTGTTTGTATTTTGTGGTTTTTATTCCGTGTTTGTATACTGTGAATAGCACTGAGATCTTTGATTTAATACATAGAAAATAATAAATTTGTATGGAGGAGCATCCTATCAAGTGAGGCTCTTGCCCACAGCCTGAATTGTCTCCACCCTGTCACAGGCTTGTTAAATTTGAGACTCGAAGGAAGAATATGGTGACATGTAGAATTGGGAAAGGTTGCAACAATATGGTAATAAGGCGATAGTATTCATTCTGTAGTATTTCAGGAGCTGGGGGCAAATATAACTGCTCACTCGCTGTGTGATTCCCTACACATGTCTGCTCAGAAGCAATTCCTGCTGGGCTGACAAAGTTAGGCAGTGAGGCTGTTCCCCCACAGTGCTGTGTTTTAGGTTGTGTTTCAACACATGGTGTGATGGTGATAGGTAGCATATATGCACCCAATGTGTGTTACGTGTTGGGTTTTTCTACTATGATTACCAGTGCTAAGAGACTGAGATAGAAAATCTATTCACCACATGGCTCCTGGAACCTGGGTTGCAGGTGCTAAAACAGAATGGCTAATTGCCATGGGGGGGGGCAATGCAGCAGCACTTTCTACTCTTTTTTTCGAAACTCATGAACTAATACACAATTCATATCAGTGACACGTTGTTAATATCACATTTTTAATAGCAATTCTTAATTGGACACCACAAACCTCAACCTCAGCAATAGTGGGCAACCATAAGTATTTATAAATACTGGTATATATCACTGAAACTATGATCACACAATATTGATATTACATACACACATGCAGTGATGCTGTTGCATCTGGAACATGAGACTCTTAAACCTCAGGGTTGTGGGTTTGAGCCCCACGTTGGGCAAAAGATTCCTGCATTGCAGGGCGTTTGACTAGGTGATCCTCAGGGTCCGTCCAACTCTACCATTCTATGATTCTAAGAGGGAGCATTCCTCAATAGAAAGGAAAATGTACAAGATAGCACACACTCTCATTTCACAGAAATCACTTAGAAGTTAACAGCATGGCTTGTCCACTGTTCCTTGTCTCCCGTCTTCCGCTCCTCCTCATTTCCAGTCTTCCTCCAGCTGCCATTCACTCTCAGGATGGCACAGGCTGCACAGAAGCTGGTGATGCTGTCCCCACCAAAGGGCCCAAGCTCATTTTTGCTGCTACCACTTACTCAAAGCTTCACCTGGCCACATTTTGGTACTATGCTAAAGTTGAATTGGTTCCCCCAACTCCTGCTGAAATTCCTAAGGCTATGGATGGCATGAAAGGATTGCTGACGACCTGGCAGTCTGGCCGCTAACCATCAAGGAAGCTGTAAGGAACAGCTTGGTGGCTACTGAAGTGGTAATGTGGTTTTACATCTGCGAAATCATAGGCAAACGTGGCCTGGTTGGCTGCAGTGTTTAAAAGTCTTTTTAGCCCTAATTCAGTGTCTTAATACCAAGATGAAATTTTGGTGGTCTCTACAAATATCGTTCAATTTGAGGCAAAATCAGATGATGGTGATGTGAACGGCAACAAGGGTTGCTAAATTACTATTCAAATAAACGCTGTACAAAGAAAAAAAGTTACCAGCACATTTTGCCCCATAACTTCCTTTCTAGGAAGGCTGAGATGGACTTCTTTTTTAAAAAAGAAAGCTCAGTCTGGAGCACCTCCCCAGGGTCACTGGCAAAAGCTTTAGCAACCATGGGCAGAGCCAGGATTTTTGTTAAGCAGGAGGGGGAGCTTTTTTTAAGGAAATCAAAGTTGTTCAGCTTTTCTTGGGAAATCATAGGTAAAAATACCTGTCCCTTGAATAGGACATGGGGGGGGGGGGAGGTTTCTGCTGAGGGGGAAAGCTTCAGATAATTGAGTACTTTCGATACCCCCCCCCCCAGCTACACCCATGCAAGCAACCCCTGGAGCATGGGGTTGTAGCCAAATAGTTATGAAAGTGACCTCAGGTGGTGTAAGTTGCTCAAAGCCAGCTAAATTTTTCAATGGTGCTATATTCTTTCCCCCAAACAATAGCTAAAAGTGCCGCATGGCGGTGCTGTAGAACAGAGGCTCCCAAACTTACCGTATTTGGCCTACCAAATAAAAAAGTACTCTGTGTCCCCCTGGAAATAAGACACCTTGAAACTTGAAATTACAACATTTTTTATTAAAATCAACAATGGTAACATTTGCATTACACACAGAAAATTAAGATAAAGAAGGATATTAGAATAAAAATTAAGAATAACATTAAAAATAATCATAATGAGATCATAATGAGAAGGATGAACCTTTAACTTTATGCTTTGTGTAAGCATCATTGCATGTTTCATTGGTGAAGTGCTCCTTAGTGGGTGCAGCACACACATTTTAAAAACCTGCTGTTCTGTGCAAGTCTCGTATATATCAGAATTTTTTTTAAAAAAAAATACTGGTCTCACGCACAGGTAAACAAATACCTGCGCAGATCACTGCAGTGAACCTCTGGGTTCTTGAAGTAGTAATAGAATTGGAAGGGACAGCAACACACTGCAAATACATCCCATCAAGCACTGCCCACGTTGTGGTTGGGAAACACTTGAGAGAGGGAGGCAGTTTGTCTGAAAGTGCTTGTGTGTGCAAAAAAGTGTACAGGGCAAATTAAATTCTGTGCTGTGTATGTGCCCATTTATACGCTGGTGTGTACAGGGCCTTAGTCCTTCTCATTTACAGTAAGGAAGAATGTTTTAGAAGAAAGACTCTTGCCAACTGTTTCTAGTTCTGGAAGGCAGAACTCTGGGCTTGCAGAACCTGCAACCTGCCAGCCCAAACACAGCCCTCTGGCCACACCGGCCACCAAGGCCTCTAAACCTCCAGATTATGGCTGCCACCTTGGGATTTTTAAACAGACCGCAGTACCTGCTTGGACTCCCTGGTTGGATGACAAATTCTGCAGGTCTTAATCTGAAACTAACTTTGGGGTGGCAGAAGAAAAGAAAAGAAAACTAAATACTTGAATAACAACTAACCCCCCTAACAGCTTCTCGGGTGTAGGTGGGGAAGCTGTTGGGGCCCTGGCCTCTTGGCAGGACCCACCACTGTGCTGACACCTTTCCTGAGCCATTTAAATTGTCTCTTGCATGCGGTGTTACTATAGCCGAGCAAGGAAACAGTGCAGCTGCTGCCACCTGTCACTGCACCAGTTGAGGCAACTGGGACTCAGTTGAGGTCATTTGGGAAAAGGCTCCCTTGAAACTTGCAGCCACCCTTGCCTAGGTTCTTGAAGTTACTGTTCAAGGTCAGTGCTTGGAGTGGTTTTGGAAGGGATATGACAAGCATTTTCGCCCACAGGGAGGTGTGCAGGTTTTTGTTGAAGGAGATATCAATGCTCCATTTTGAATGCTACTGGTGAGCTTAAGAGACACAAAGAACACAATGCATTTGTCACAGTGCCATACATTTTGGCTCAGCTGTGAGGCCATTGCCTATGACAGCCTTTCTCAACCTTGGGTCCCCAGATGTTGTTGGCTTGGCACTCAGTCTGTCATTGCCTTACTCCAGCTGCCCATAGTTGGATAAGCAAGCCAGTCATCCAATGGCTGGATGAGAAATGCTGCTCTTCCCTGTATCTGAAGCCATTGCTTGACTTAATCACATCACTAGAGCAGCACAGGATCATAATGTTTTGACAGCCTCAAATTGAGTCACAATGTTATGATAGGTGACTGAAGAGCATAATCAAGAGCTGCCTTCAAACCCTGATGATTCCGCCCCCCCCCAAAAAAAACCCAAACAAGCAACAGAATGGACTTCGCAGACTTAGGTCTAATTAATTAATGAACCCTAACTAATTGTTTGTATGTGTCATGTTTGTGGGTTGCATTGCACACTCCATGTAATTAAGGTTTATTTTAGACTTTGATTCCCTGGTGCCAACTGAAGCCTAATGATATTTAATGGCAAGCATTGCCAGTTAGTGGGAATAGTTAATGAGGGCATCTTCAGATGATTTAGTGATGTTTGGCTGCTTTGTGGCCACTTGAGACTTGCTTGTAGTTCACATTTACGGGAAACGTATTTAGAGTTACCTTTTTGATAAATCACGTGGTGTGGTTTAAATGGCATCATACTTTAGGCATAACAGTTTATAAACTTTCACAACAGGAACTCTTCACTGTCTTGTGGAACATCTTTATGCCATTGATTGGCAGATCAGATCAATAATTTTGTGTATTGTTTCCAGCAGTATTTATTTATGTATTGTGTCTGTGTACAGTACTATCCTTGCGCTATGAAGTTCAGGCGGTGTTATTTAGGGTTACCCCATCCTATCCATACAAGCCAGTGGGGTAGATTGAACTGAGAAACAGTAACTGGCTGAAAAGCATCCGTGGTGCTTCATGGCTATGCATGGATTCCTCTTGCAACAGTGACACACTGACTCTCCACTCTGATGTCATCAGGGCTATCTGTTGATGGTCAAAATGGATGAATCCTGCAACGCATTGGTGATGGCCCCAATAATATCCCTGCAGAACTGCATCTAGAGCCACTTCCTTGCAGTTTCCGGAAACAGTTGAAGATAAATTTGTTCTGATAGGCATTCCCAGCTGGAGAAACGGGTCTTTCCCAAAAATGTCCACTTGTTGGGGTTTTATCCTTGTCTTATTTGTGTGTGTGTGTGTTTGTATGTGTGTGTTTTGATTATCTTAAGTGTAAATTTAGAAGGTGAATAATAAATCAGTTGTGCTTGTGATGATGACAATAATTCTATTGGTTGCGGAACACATGCCTCTTGAACCTGGGCTTTTAAAACTGATGCATTCATTTTTGGTGTCCTCTCAGTAATGTGTTATATGGAATTACTGTTTTTTGGGTTATGGGTGGGGTTGTTGTTTGTTGATTTGCTTGTTTTTATGTGCTGTAACAACAAGTTAGGTGTAGCTCATAGAATAGTCCATTTTCTGATAATGGGCTTCTTGATCAGGGAAGCTCTTCCAAAATGGAACATAGTTTGTTCTTTGTCTCTTGAGTCCATAGATGACTTAACAAATATATAGCAGTAGTCTGGCTAGTAAAACTTCTCATGGCTAGAACATCTGTGGGCCCATATTCATGACTGAGACAACTGTACAATGTGAATTAACCTGGTTAATTGTGTTTTGTTAAAAAGAAGGCTTTTAATTTTCCTGCATCATTCCATACCTAACTTCCTTATTAGACATCTTGCCAACGTCCACCCTAATGACATAATTATGCAAGTGAAGTTATGATTAGTTCTGTATGAATGAAAATGGGTTCTTTGTGAGCTTCCCCAGTCTTGTGATGGAATTTCATTTCAGTCACTCTTTACTCTTCTTGCTGATTGAATGATCTTCTATTAAAACCTGATATATAACCAAATGAAGCTAGTATTTGGTGAAATTTTAGAACTTGACTCCACACAAACCAGAATATTTCTGCTTGATTTTAATTAATCTGCAGCTGACCCAACTCACTTGCCTACATCAGTAGCATTTTACAGGCACCTGGCTTACATTTAGGGAGAGCAATGGTTAACAGCTTTGGGACAGCATGGCCTATGATTGTGTGGAGGCAACTGTGCCTTCCCCTGTCTTCCCAACTGCAGCCCTGTTACCTCCTCATTTTGCAGGAGAGAGGTAAACAATTGGTTCAGGGGACCTGCACTCTCTCTTCACCGCCCCATAACCAAAGTAGACCCAGCACTAGGATGGGTGGAAAGGCTTAAACCTCTGTCCAGCCTGGTACCCTGATGGGATTTAAATTATTAAATTGCCCTTCCACAATCAAATCATTTCATGGGTGGGGAGTAGGGGCAGATCTGAGGTGGGAGATGGGGATGGTGGTGGCCACACCCATGCGTGGCCTGTAACTACCAGAGGGTTGGCCAGGGCAAATGAGGCTCTCAGGCCAAAAATGGTTGGCCCCACTGCTCTAGAGAAGTGAATGGAGTTAGTCCTTTCCCAATGGAAGAAGGGAAATAGGCACCAATCAGGATAACTCTTAAAGAGGAAACACGTGCATACCTACATGCACACCATGCTCAGCATCTAGGAAGAGTTGTATTTTCCTGTAGGTGAGCAAAATAGCTTGAGGTGGCCCTGTTTATGCACAAACGTGTGTTGAACAGCCTTAATTAGCTGTTTAGGAGTTTTGTTGGTTTTTAAATGATCTTTCCCCCACCCCTACAGATCTGCCCTTATTTCAGTAAAAGGATCACAACTAAAATTAAGGATCTGCTGCAGCAAATGGAAGAAGGGCTGAAGACTGCAGATCCTCATGACTGCTCTGCATATACTGGCTGGACAGGTGAGGTACCCAAACTTCTTGACAAAGTTCATGGAATTACTTTTGGAGTTGAATTGTTAAGATCCTCGCAGATACAACAGCTTACTTTGTGATCTAGTGCTGGGTTCTAGGTTCAGGCTTCGTTTCCATTGATATTCCATTGATAAGTATATTCACGTCATTTTAGTCTGCTTTTCCATGAAACCACATTCAGAATGTTTGACAGCATTATAGGGCTGGCATGTACTCCCACTTTCAACCCAGTTGCTCTCTGGAGGTAGAAAGTGAAGACCATCTTGCTACAGGTTTCTTCCTGCTTACTTTCCCACTTAGAGCCATTAACAATTAGTTGGCCAGGAAAGCTCTTCCTTGGTCACCTAAGAAAACTATTAATCCTGTTTTCCAAATTCTTAAAATAAAAAAACGCACCACCACCAATTACTACTGTTTTGAGCACAGCCTGGCCTGCTTCTGTGAAGTGTGTGGTCTGGTCTGGTGCCGCTTGTAGTTTTCAATTTACCCAACACTTTCTACCATTATTTGTATGCTTATGGGGGTGGTTTGAAAAGGTTAACTGGTGGATTGACCCATTTGGATGAGATGATTGGTGGATTGAGCCTTTTAATTAGGCAGTGTGTATGTCACTATTTTGTAATCTAAACAACAGAATGCTATATTGGGCATAGAATTCAATCTCCTATTAATTCTTGCTTTCGTATTTTTATTTTTTGAAAATGCAAGTTTGTAGTCCATATGGCAGCAACAATTTTTTTTATTTATTGAATGTGTTAGTCGCTTTATCTTGCCCAGAGCAACCCAATGTGACTTACAGCCAACCATACAAACAGGCAAAAAAATCACATATAGATACATTAAAACCAAGAGGAGAAAGAAATATGTTAAACAAACATGCTGCCCACTTGTAAAAGGACACACAAAGCTAAAGACCAAAGACCTGGTTATAGAGGAAAGTTTTTGCCTGCCAGGTAAACCCTCTCTGGGTAGAGTATGTGGCTACTAAAATCTCAGGAGCCAGATGGTGGTTGAATAAGATGTACAGTGGTCCAGGATTTTTGTGCTCTGCATAGCTCATTATTCCTCCCCATGATGTACAAACTGGAATAAATAACTCAGAATTGTAAAAATAGCCATCATGAAATATGTAAAGTAGATGATGCAGATTTGCTTAATTTGTATAGTTATTCAGGTTGCAGAACACAGCTTTTTTTGGGGGGGGGTCAGTGAATTTGTACTGCCTGTGTGCAAAATTTGTTAATTTGCACTAAGTGTACATAGATGTGGATACTTCTTCATTCCAATTCTGTGCTTATGGCATATTGCAATCAAGGTGGACTTCAACTGATACATGCATTATCCTATTCTATAATAGATGTTTGCACCGCATGCTCCCCAGGTTCCTTCCAGCTTTGTTGCTAAGAAGAATTAAATATGAAAGAGGATTATTGGCCCACATTCAGTTCTGGAAATGGGAGTTCAGTATTTTTCCTCTTTTCTTCTTAATGGCTCTTGGAAGGATTCAGAATGTTCTGGGCAGATGGTTCTGTAGGAGGAGAAATAACAAAAAGGTGACATTTGTGATTGGTTTGTTTTAAAAACCTAAAAATGGGGGCAGCTGTGTGGCACTAAAGGTTGTTGTTTTTTTTAATGCCGCCTCTCACTTGCTGTTTCTTTAGAAGCAGAACAGAATTCTGACACTGGGATTGACAGAATTAATTGCTAATTCACACTAGGGCAATTAAAACAAATCAACCTTCCACTTAAAATAGCAATACAGATGGATGAGTAATATCAGTTCCATGGAGAATGGCTTGGGCTTTATTCAGGAATGCTCAAATATGACAGAAAAATAAGTTTTAGAACTATTTTTGTGTTTGTTAAATATAAAAACAGCTGTATATGTTTTATTTTTTCCACACATTTCTTTCCTGCCTTTCCTTGAAGAAGTTCATAGTGACATATATGCTTATCCAATGTATAGTCACAACCATCTTATAAGATTGTATAAGATAAGAGGGAGACTACGCTAGTGAGCTTCATAGCAGAATGAGGATTTGAACCCGTTCCTCTGGTCAAGATCCAACACTCAGGCTCATATCACGCAACCCTCTAATTTAATCCTAAGAAAAAAGTTTTCATTTCCCCCCAACAGAGACAATGTAATTCAGCAAGATTCAGTATTCACCTCTGCTGCATTTCTTCTATTATACAAGATGCAAAACAATTATTATTGAAGTACAGTGGTACCTTGGTTCTCAAACTTAATCCATCCCGGAAGTCCATTCCAAAACCAAAGCATTCCAAAACCGAGGTGCGCTTTCCCATAAAAAGTAATGCAAAATGGATTAATCCATTCCAGACTTTTAAAAACAAGCCCTAAAACAGGAATTTAACAGGAATTTTACTAACGAGACCATTGATCCATAAAATGAAATCAATAAACAATGTACTTCAGTCATACAATCAATCAGTAGCTGAACTGGGTTCCACACAGTTACAAAAAAACAAAAACAAAAAAGAGTCACAAAAACGCAAAATAAATAGCAAAAACAGACAGACCTCAGCGTAACACTCAAAACAGAAGTGTGGCACTCAAAATGGAGTACGTTCGGCTTCCAAAAAATGTTCGCAAACCAGAACACTTACTTCCAGGTTTGCAGTTGTTTGAGTACCAAGGCGTTTGAGAAGCAGGGTACCACTGTAATCTTCAAAGGGTGAGAAAGAGGGATGGACATTGAGATTGTTATATAAATCATTCAAAGTTCACAATGTCATACAATATATTTTGCCTATTAGACTCTGTCTTACCAGGCTGGGGGCGAAACATGTGGGCAGGGGCAGAAATCCCTCACTGTATCTGTGTCTGGCCCCCTGAACTTTTTCTCCCTCACTGGCTCTCCTTCACATCCAAAGTGTTTTTGCCTGGCTGGAATCTGTCTTGCTTGAGCTCTGATAATGCCTCTTGCTTGTCTAGACTCTAGATGGAGGATGGAGGGGCAGGGCTTATTTCTAGAAGCTAGCCTACTGTATAATTGTAAAATTTACATTGTTGCTCTACCCACTTTTGCCTCTGGCTCCACCAACTACTGGCAAATGGCTCTTGGAAGGTAGACCGGAAGGAAAAATGACTCTCTGACTAAAAAAGGGAATGATGTATCTCAACCAAGGAAGAGGAGAGGCAAGGAGGGGAGGCAAAGAGCTAAATCAAAGCCCTTGTTCCTTCTGCTCCACCTGCTATATTCCAGAATCTGGGGTTGATGGTCAGCCAACCATCGGGGGTGTGTGTGTTGAAATGCCAGGTCTGGCCAGAAAAAAATATTTTCCATGATTTGATTGTAGATGAGGGAGGCAACTTTGGGTGTAAAACTGAGACCTGAGCAGATGAGCGCAGTGGTCTGTGCTAACCCAGCTGTGTCTGCCCAGGTGCAGCACCAATTCAGGTCAGAGGAGCAGGTGGTGGTTGGTTGCCATCCATCTCCCTTGCCAGGAGACCAGTCTGCACTGTCTGGGTTTGAGGGGTTGTCGGCCTTTGTAGTTGGGATTGACAGAATTGTGATTTGATCAAGTGTATTAGTTGAACACTCTGAACTATTTGATTCTCTAATATATTGTACTGATGGTTTTCATGTAGTATTTTAACAATTGTGACTCTTGCTGATATCACTCTGTGATTGGGGGCAGAATACAAAACGTAGAAATAAATAAATGGTCAGACCTGGTTGGCACCCTCCCTCCTGACACCCACCTCATTTAAGTTACTTATCTGAATTCAGTGGCACTTGCATCTCACTGCTCAGGATGATCCCATGTGTCTTTAATGGGAGTTATGCAGTATTATTTCATCCCATAATTAAGGTTTGTTTAGTGGCCAGCATAAGTCGGATCAGGTTAGTCTTTCCCTGGTGAATCAAGACCACAAGTAGCAGGCTGTGCTCAAGGTGGGCTGTAGAAGCATCATTTTCTATTTCTCTGGGCTTTGATTTAAGAAGAGAAGGGTGGGAAGAGAAAAGAAAAGGCAAAAAAGGAGAGTGAGACCCATCTTGTACTTGGTGGCTAAGTGAGTCCTGGTTTCAAAAAGGTATAAAAAGTCCTGTCATCATTTATTTATTTTTAAAGGACTATTGTGACTCTATGGGTCAGCAAAGGAGAGGGAATAAGTCCATTTAATTTTTCTTCTTTCTGGTGATTCCAGGGATAGCCCTTTTGTACCTTCAGCTGTACCGTGTGACGCAAGAACAAAGTCATCTACAGCGATCCCTGGATTATGTGAAGAGGATCCTACGCAATCTGAATGGAAGAAGGGTTACTTTCCTCTGTGGTGATGCTGGACCCCTGGCAGTGGGAGCAGTGGTGTACCACAAGCTGAAGAATGACACTGAATCCAAGGAATGTGTGACCAAGTGAGTACCTGCGATGGGCTGGGGACAGACGCTTAGAGATAGGCTAAGCATTCTTCAATGGGTCAGTAACAGCAGAGCAAAACCCCTCCTTGGGAGACCAGACGAAGGAGCTGGAGAGGATTAAGTTGGTTTTTCTTATGGATATCTCAGCCTCCAAAGAAAGACTCTTAATGTGCTGCTGCCAGTTAGCCGCCCTAGCAATATAGTAAAATCAGAGAATTAACATAGTAGCTATCAAACCAGCATAAAAGCATTCCAGGTGTTAAAAGTTTAAAAGCCAAAGGAAATAAAAGGTATTTGCCAGGTGCTGAAATAATAAATCAGTCTATTCATTCTATGATACTTTTCCTCATCAAGTGTTATTATTATTAGTAGCAGTAGTAGTAAAAGGTAAAGGTAAAGGGCCTGCTGACCATTAGGTCCAGTCATAGCCGACTCTGGGGTTGCGGCGCTTATCTCGCTTTATTTACAGCTTCTGGGTCATGTGGCCAGCATGACTAAGCCGCTTCTGGCAAACCAGATCAGCGCGCGGAAACGCCATTTACCTTCCCGCCGGAGCGGGACCTATTTATCTACTTGCACTTTGACGTGCTTTCGAACTGTTGGTTGGGAGGAGCTGGGACCAAGCAACGGGAGCTCACCCCATCACGGGGATTCGAACCGCCGACCTTCTGATCGGCAAGTCCTAGGCTCTGTGGTTTAACCCACAGCGCCACCCACATCCCGCCTTAGCTATAGTAGAAGTCTCTGAAATCAGGAATTGGTGTGAAAATGAGGAATCAGCCAATAGTGTTTATCCCTATCCCTGATACATCTACAGTTGCAATTGAAATTATTCCACCCCCATTGCAAATCGGGTTTATTATCAAAATTTACGGACTTTTAGCTGTTTGCAATGAGCAAATCAAACAAAAACAATTGAAATAGCTCGGTAAAACGAATGCTTCAAGTGATTTCCCCAAATTCAGCTGTGAAATGCAAGTTATACTGGTTTCTCCAGTCTCACTATTGTTCAACCCCTTCATGGCAAGCATCTTTTTGCACTTTCAGTTGCAGCTGTATAGGAGAGAGAAGGTTCACTTTTGTTCGCAGAAGGCAAAGCACCTGCAAAGTAGCAAGTTGCCATGGTAGGGTTATATATAGGGACTCAGTCAGTTCCCTGCAGCTAGGAGAACTTACTACTGGGCAAGCAGGTGGAGGATCTTTACAAAAAGAAGATGCCATCTCCACCCCACCCACCCGCCATAGCATGAGAAAGGATCCGTCTTGCTTATTTTGGTTTGGTTTCCTCTGATACTTCCATCCCTAGAAAGAATAACATTTGATCCAGAGGCTTCTGGGATACTTCTCTGCCTTTCTCCTCCCGTTTTGGACAAGGCTCTAGTGACCTTTGGCATGTTATAAACACACAAGTGGTTTCTTTTAGCATTCTTTGCCCTGGCCCTACCTGTTCGCTTTTCCCCAGCATCCCTTGCTATACCCAGAGCTCTTGGGGGCTCTGCCCTGCCTACAGCCATTGCACTGCAGTTTATATTTAGAAGTTGCATCACTCTCCTCCTAATCCACAGTCTCTGAAAGATTAATCTCCGTCAGGGCTTTTTGATATGACTGTTTGCATTTTAAATGGAACTTTCTTTCCCTGCTGAGAATAAAAGGCAGGGCGCTGCTTTTTTCACATTTTGTTTCAACCAGGCTGCTTTGTGGAGTGGGAAGCAGAGAATAAAAATGAGATTAAGGCTAAGATTCTCGTTTGCTTAATTGAAAATAAATGTCATTGGAAACAGTTGGGCTTACTTCCTAGGAAGTGGCTGCCATCCAGAAAGCTGTTGGGGGGGGCAGATCTCTCTCTCCTTTTTCTGAGCAGCTCCCTTCCCCCTTCTAGGTTGGTGTATCTTAAGCCACTTTTGAAATGGAAGTGATTTGGAGCAGTTTACACTGTGCCTAAGGGATAGGTGCTGCTAATTTGAAAGACAGATAGATGGCTTCATTTCTACATATTCCTAACTTGATTTACTCTTACCTTGATGACTGAAGGCTGAAATTTGCTTAACAGCATGGGGGTGGACGGATTCATTAATTCCATTTGACGGCCTGGAAATAACTTGTTTCCAGTGCTCAGCGTTAGCTCAGGTAGACAATCTAGGTGCCACATGAGGCCTGAAAACTAGGTTATGGGTGCAATAACAGAATGCCTAGGCGCTGCTGTTTTTTGTATTACAAGATTACAAAGCTGAAAATGAATGAACTCCAGCTAAAACCTTATCTTTATTTTTCATATGGTCTCGTCCTCATCAGTATTCTTTTGTGGGCCCCTTCTTGAGTCTTCAGAGAGTGGCTGGAAGTGGGGAGGCAGAAAAAGGTTCTCCTTTCTTTCCACGCTGCAAACAAGCTCTGGATTCTCCCTACACCCCCTATATAACTTTCTAGCACAACAACTAACACATATTACAGGCCTACACAAGTGATGGAAGAGACACACACTTTGAGTGTACAGTTCGCACTTAAACATCTTACTTCAGTGCCATCATGTGGGGCAAGATAGCGCCAAGGTAAGACGTGCTTATCAGAGCTCTGCATATTCCCTTTCACTTACATGACGGGGGTTTGCTTTCCTGGCTCCCCCCACCCCTTTTGTTCTTTTTAAAATTCCTTTTATTGCCCAGTCTCAAATCTTCCATTCTTGGGTAAAGTGATTGAGCGGGTGGCTGCGGAACAACTCCAGGCACGCCTGGAGGATGCGGACCATTTAGATCCCTTCCAGTCAGGATTCAGGCCTCACCATGGGACTGAAACTGCCTTGGTCGTGCTGGTTGATGATCTCCAGTGGGCTAGGGACAAAGGTGAGAGCTGTTTCCTAGTTCTGCTGGGTCTCTCAGCGGCCTTTGATACCATCGACCATAACATCCTTCTGGACCGTCTAGAGGGAGCTGGGGGCACTTGTTATACAGTGGTTCCACTCCTTCCTTCTGGGCCATGTCCAGAAAGTGGTGTTCAGGCCCCTGGGCTCTCACTTATGGGGTGCCACTGGGTTCTGGCCTCTCCTCCATTAAAACACTTTCTATAATGTTTGTAGTACTGGTTTCCACCATGGCATCCCTCCCCCCAACAGCCTTAAAAGCTATGATGAAGGTAGAATTTCAGAGATTGGCTGGTTAGAGGACAAGGCAGGCTGTAAGGATATGGTTGTGCTCTCTGACTGATGTGTGTGAAGCATTTGAGAAGGCAAAAAGTAGGAAATATGCCACTTCCCCTGGGGGGGGGGGGGCTGTTCACAGAGTTGTCTCAGGATAAGCAGCAGGAATCGCACATGAGTATGTTTAACTCACGTTAAATCATCTTACCACTTCAGATGTTTCTTGAGCTTCACAGTGGGTTAAAAGTGATGGGGTCTTTATCTGCTATAGGGTATCGACTGCTGGGTGGGGGCGAGCCTCACTCTCCCCAGCCCTTGCCAGGATGGGGCTTGCCTCCGGGGGTGGGGAGCGCTGAGTGGGGGCGGGGCTTGCAGCCCTCACTGCCCTCACCGCCAATGGATAGGAGAGCACTTGCACCCTGAGTGCGGATGGGGATTGGAGGAGAGCACTCGTGCTGAGTGGGGACGGGGCCTAGGTGCAAGACATCATGCCCATACATCTAAAACTGGTTGCAATTGGACCATGGCAAGTTGCAAAACTTGCCTAGTCCTTAGGGAGTTTCAAATGCTGCTACTGCTGTATATAAAGAATGAGAGGATAATAGTCGGGAGCAGGTTGGAAGCATGTGTGATGTTGAGTGGCTAGAGGTTGATACACCTCATTGAATCTTACACAGCTGATTTTTTATTTCACCAGTCCAGATAAGACTGGACAAAAAAATCTGTTTCAAATATTGGAGAGACACTACTGAACTAGATGAACCAATGGCTTCTTGTGTTCTGGTGGAATTATTTTGGCCTCTTTCTCAAATTATTTGACCTAGAAAAGCCTAAATTACCTCAGCTTTAGTTAGCTTTGCAAGCTCACAGTGGTTTTTGCCAGCTCACCTGGCTACATCAACCTGCTGTGTTAGTTGCAAAAAAGGAGAGCAGAGTCTTTTCTGTGTACAGAAAACTTACTTGCCTGATCACCTGGAGGCAGTTCCTATTCACTGTGGCAACCTATTTACAGGTTTCCCATACTTGGGAACCCTTCAGTTTTCCCTCCAATTCTTTCTCATTCCAGACTTTTGCAGCTCCAGAGAATGGTCCTTGCCACAGATTCTGACCTTCCAGATGAGCTGCTTTATGGAAGAGCTGGTTACTTGTATGCCTTGCTTTATCTGAATACTGAAATTGGACCCGAGGCTGTGCCACAGTCTGCTATCAAGGAGGTAAGAGAGAAGCGCTGTTTTCCAGGCATTGGTTGTGTACAGAGTTGGTTGTTTGGTGCCTTTTGTAATGGTTCCCACCTTTTGCCTGCACTTAGCTATCTCCATACACATCCCATTTGTTGTTTCAATCTTGCAGAACTGTCTCCTGCCTTCTTTGGGGCTTTCCACATAATGCTTTTCTAAAAGCCTACATTTTCTTCTTAGTGCTATACAGGCAGTGCTCGATTTGCATGGAGGTTACATTCTGGACCCACGTGCGTATCAGCAGGGTCCGCATAAGGCCACCCCATTCCGCACCTTTTTGTGACATTTTTGGGTCACTTCTGGGTTTGGCACAATGTGCATGGTTGCAGTCACAAACATATCGGACACACCTAAAACGGTTGCTCTCTGTACTTGTGCCTGTACTTATCCATGACTAGTGGTCCTATATCCACGCTTAATGGAATGCAGAAGCCCTCTTGAAAGATAACTGAGTGCTCCTGCATTTCAGTTGTACAGCAGAGAAGGCATGCTTGGTCTCTAATGAAGTAATAGTATTTAAGCAGTAGAAAAAACACACCTCTGACACTTTTGCAAGCAGCTCCCACTAATGCAGTTGCTCCATGCTGGGGTCCCTTTCACTAGCAATAAAGCATTGCTCTTTGAAATGTAGAAACAGAAATTCTACCTGGAGGAAGTCTTGAATACCCTTTGCAACCTATGCATTTATTGCAGGTTTGGGTGACTTTTGGACCTCCAGTGGCCAGGGAGGATGGGAGTTGTAGTTTAGGAATATTTGGAGGACCAAAGGTTCTCCACACCTGATTTCTTTCATTTTTCTGGCTGGAACAAGAAGTTCAGAGTAGTCTCTGAAAAGGTTATTGCAAGACCAACTCCCACTGGTCACATAAAGAAATTTGTGAAATTTTTAGGCTTGCATAACTCCACTGTTACGGCTTTGGCTACAGAGTGTACCGGCCAGATGTGAGATGTTCTCTCAGAATAATGGAATGCCTGTTATTCTATCTGTCTGCATCAGGTGGTGGATTCCATCATTGAATCAGGTAAAAACTTTTCCAGAGAGGAACGAAAGACAGAACGGTGCCCATTATTGTATCAGTGGCACAGAAAACAATATGTTGGTGCAGCCCATGGCATGTCTGGGATCTACTATATGCTTATGCAGGTAATGATAGGAGCCAGCTTGGGAAAGGGGGGTTGGGGGTTGGGTGGGTGGGGAGAGAAGGAGACTCTCCTGAGGGCAACAGTGAGAGAAGGGAACTTGTCTTAAGAAGATAAGAAGCGGCTGCTGGATCAGGCCAGTGGCCCATCTAGTCCTGGATCCTGTTCTCACAGTGGCCAACAGGCATCAATTTACACTTATTTACATTGTTTATGTTGAATTGCACTTGCCATTTTATTACCCATTCATTCAGGTTGGAGAGCTTGTTTTCACAATCTCTTCTTGTTTGAATGACCCTGAACAATTTAGCATCATCGGCAAACTTCACTGCTCACCCCTAATTCTCAATTGTTTTTGAACAAGTTAAATAGCAGAGGTCTCAGTGTTGATCTTTTTTAAATAAAAAATAAAACAAGGTGTTGTTAAAGTTTTTTCATAATACAATAAGATAAAAGAAACTAAATAAAAACAAAAACAGAGAAAGAGAAAACACCAAAGGAAAACAAAAAAAGGAGAAGAAAAGAAGAGAGAATAAGAGAAGAAAAATAAATAGAATTTCCTTTTTTTTTGGTCAGTTTCATAAAAGAAATTAATAAAAATATTCACTTTAGAATATTTTCATGCAACTGATCTACTCTCTGTTAGGCGATATTTCCCCAGTCTTCCTGACCCAGATGTCTCATATTAATCTATTTTCCTTTTTACACAAAAGTCCAAAAGGCATTCTCTAACTATTGTCAGCAATAGTTTTTCTCTAATCAACATACCAACTTTCTCTCCGATAACTTCAACAACCATTTCCCATTGTGAGATGTACAAGTTCCCTGTCAGTGGGAAAGCTCACGCATCTCTTGGTATGGGACATGCACAAATGGGCACTTCAGAAGACTTAGTGGCAGGGTAAAAAGAGGATGCCTGAGTGAGTGTTACTCTCTATTGGCAACTCCTTGTAACATGTGATGCCAACTTCTAAATATATAACAGCCACAGTTGTCTCCCACCTTCACTGCATCCAGTTAAACAAGGGTAAAATTATTTTCCAGATACATCAATGTGAATGCACATCAGCATGGATTTGTAGTAATATGAAAAAAATTCCTGCTTTTTATTTTGAAAAAAATACTGTGTGTTTGTTGTATATTTTAGCCAGTGTGCAGTGTGGATCAAGAGACTTTGAGAGAACTGGTGAAACCAAGCATTGACTATGTGCGCCATAAAAAATTTCGATCTGGGAATTATCCATCATCTTTAAGTAATGAAACTGACAGGCTGGTGCATTGGTGCCATGGTTCCCCAGGAGTCATCCATATGCTCATGCAAGCATATAAGGTATGTCCTTGTTTAGCTCAATCATGAGGCATGGAAGAATGCATACAGTGGTACCTTGGTTCTCAAACTTAATCCGTTCCTGAAGTCCGTTCCAAAACCAATTTCTTCCAAAGCCAAGGTGCGCTTTCCTATAGAAAGTAATCCAAAACAGTGGTACCTCAGGTTACATACGCTTCAGGTTACAGACTCCACTAACTCAGAAATAGTACCTCGGGTTAAGAACTTTGCTTCAGGATGAGAACAGAAATCACGTGGTGGCGACACGGCAGCAGCGGGAGGCCCCATTAACTAAAGTGGTGCTTCATGTTAAGAACAGTTTCAGATTAAGAACGTACCTCCGGAACGAATTAAGTACGTAACCAGAGGTACCACTGTAATCCGTTCCAGACTTTTAAAAACAACCCCTAAAACAGCAATTTAACATGAATTTTACTATCTAATGAGACCATTGATCCATAAAATGAAAGCAATAATCAATGTACTGTACTATAAAATAAATAAGACCGTATCGTAGATGATAAAAAATAATTTATTTTTTTTCTTACCTGCACTGATTATAGTCATTGTTTGGATGGGGGGCTTTTATCAATTTCCACAATCACACAATCATTCAGTATCTGAACTGGGTTCCACACAGTCACAAAAACAAATTAACTGAAAAAGCCTCAAAAACGCAAAATAAATCACAAATACAAAAGCGCCAAACTTAATCCTTTCTGGAAGTCTGACTTCCGAAAAGTTCGAAAACCAAGGCACAGCTTCTGATTGGTGCAGGCGCCCTGGAAACAATAGCTGACAGCCACATCAGATGTTTGGATTCCGAAAAACATCTGAAAACCGGAATGCTTACTTCTGGGGTTTCGGCGTTTGCGAACCAAGGTACTACTGTACTTCAAAATTGAAAGTTAGGTTTCCAATGGGAACCCATAGTATGGGTTGCATGTTGTCTACACTGCTTCTTAAGACAGAATTTCTGTACTGCGTGCATTAAGAAAATTGTTAGTTCTGTAAGTCCAAGGGGATTTCTAAGGAGAAAAAATATTAATAGCAACACAAGGTACTTTCCTGATGCCATATGGCAAACTGCTTTTGAAGTTGTGGAAGTTTCAAAATTACCGTATTTTTCTGTCTATAAGATGTATAAGGACACCCCCTCCCATTTTTAGCGACTCAATTTTAAGAAAATGAACGGAGATGGTCCAAAGTTGTTGAGCTTCTCCCCCCATGCAACTGTGGGCAGGAACACTCCCTATATCATTTCCCACACACAGCGGCATCGGGGGAAGTTGCGCAACCAGCGGGCAGGTGGGCACGCCATTCTCCCCCCGCCATGCCACTATCCGTGTACTGGATGACCTCAGTTTTTTGACATGATTTTTGAGTCAAAAAACCTCGTCTAATACATGGAAAAATATGGTAGTATGTGGTGTGTCACCTGTTCAGATTTAAAAGTATGTGTTGCTTGACCCTAAGCAGCTCTTAGGATCCTTTTGCTTGCCCAGGAGCCCAGAAACAACATGGCAGGCACCAGCCCTTTTATTAAAAATAGCCAGTTCCCAACAGCCTGCTGAAACAAAAAGGTCTTTATTTGCTGACTGAAGGACAAGGAGGGAGCCAGTCCATCTTCTCTAGGGAGGGAGGTTCAAAGTTTGGGAGCAGCCACCAAGAAGGCCGTCATTAAAAATAGTATTTTTAGTTCATTGCTGTGGCTAAACTTGTGTTCACATTTCTGCAGGTTTTCAAAGAGGATAAATATTTGAAGGACGCAATAGAATGTAGTGATGTCATTTGGCAGAGAGGATTGTTGAGGAAAGGCTATGGCATCTGCCACGGGACAGCTGGCAATGGCTACTCCTTCTTATCCCTCTATCATCTCACTCAGGATAAAAAGTACCTCTATCGAGCTTGCAAGGTACTCCTTAATTTTATTTTCTGATGCACATACTGGGTGATACTCAACGCTAGTTATACTTAGAAAAAACCCATTGATTTCACTGGACCTGCTCCAGAGTATGACTTAGTTCAGGAGCATCCGATTTAGGGTTCCAGCCGTGCTTTTTCCCAGTTACTTTGGCATTTTATGCCCACTGAACGAGTTTGCTTCTCAGTGCCCTATGATTGTTGATGGGGGGTTTTATTTTCTAAGGACGTTCTGCATTTCTGAAAATTCTGACACACACACACACACACACACACACACACACACACACACACACCGGTTTGCTGATACCTCCCTTTTGTGCATGGATGCTGCCATTCTGGCAACATAAGTATGCAGGCTTGAGTTTGCTGTTACGGGAGAGTTATGAGATAGGGTAGTGAAGCTGACTTCCAGGGTTGAGCTGGCACTCTGCCCAGATGAGCTGGCATTCATGGAAAGAGCCCATCCCTGGACCAAGACCTAGTGGCTGTTAAGTGGAGGAGCCATCAGTGAGGTGGGTTTTGTTGGAGCAGTGACAGCACTTCTGTAGAAAACCGTGAAAATGTTGTTGCTACCAGTGTGACACAGCCTCTTGAACAGAGATGGTGCATACATTAGTTGCTAAGGGATTTGTTTACCATCTTTATCCAAAGCACCATGGTGCATCTGCAGCAGCACAACCAGACACCTTCGCCTGCCCCAGCTGCAACAAAACATTTCTCTTCTGTACCAGTTTGACTCCACACACACACCCCCCAGTGCACTCCTCCATTATCTCCCAAGACAAGAAGGAACAAGAAGCTGCTTCAACATTAAGCACAGTTATTTATTTACAAGACAAGCTACTTCTTTTCAAGGTGCTATCAGTCTTTGTTGAACTGGTTCTGAGCAGGTATTTCTCCCTCTCTTGAGAGTTTCACGTAGGAAAGGGCTGCTGGTGGGATTCATTCCGTGCTCAGGGCTTCTGAGTGCGCTATGCTCCCGTCTAATGTAAGCACATGACTTACATTGCTACTTAGTAGATACTATCTCTTCATTTCACTGTGTCCAATGAGAGAGAGAGAGGTCAGTTCTTTGTAAACCTTAATCACTGCAGATTGGATTTTGGATAATCTGCACTTGCAATTTCCTGAAATTTCATCAGAAACTTTATTAGGGCTGAAGTTAGATTTCTTAATCAGCTGACTTTGAGCTGACTTCTTGCACACCACAGTATTTCATATCTATTAGATATACATCTTTATTTACTTTGGTTTTCAATATTTTAGTCATTATTTCTTCATCCCTATTTGCTGCCTTTCCCCCAGTTTGCAGAGTGGTGTCTGGATTATGGTGCACACGGCTGTCGTATTCCTGACCGACCCTACTCACTGTTTGAAGGCAAGACATTTTTTATTGTTGAATTCTGTATTCAGTAACATGTATATTATAAAATTGTTATATGATTGAATTCAAAGCTACATGGTTTAGTTGGACTGTAAATTCACTTAAGCTGATACTGGCCTGGTTCACATGTTTTGCCAAGCCAATCCGTGTGGAAAGGAAATGGTTCTGCCACTGTGTTAAGTCAGGGTTTGGCTTAGTGTGCCATCTGAACCTGGGCTTGTGCTTTGGCTCTCCCAGACAAGCCATGAACAGTAATCCATAGGGCAAACCCTGCAGGGAGCACATACATGAGCTGAACCACAAAGTTCAGACAACATGCTACACCCAGCTGTGGTTTAGCTCAGTGTAGCAGCAGAACTGGGAAGAGCAAAGTGTTTGAAATCTCTTCTTCTGGAGTCCACATGCTCACATGTCCATGTGTGAACCAGGTCCGGGTCTGCAGTCCTCAACATGCTTACATGGGAGTAAAGCCCAGTGAACACTGTGGGACTTACTCATGAGTAGATATGTATAGGGCTGCACAACAAGCCTGCTTAATGAAATGTGCATGGTTCCTGCTTAATATTCACGGCCACCTTTTGAGTTCTACAGCCCTGTTCACTTTTCCTGTTGAAATACGTTGCCAGAGCAACCGAATTACTATTGCTGGAAGATCTGATTTGTTCTATGCTGTAATCTGTTTGAAGGTCGAATTTGGCAGATAGGATTATAGATCTCAGCAATGTATAGTCTCTGGGTGTTTAACTTTCTCATAGACATCTTACCATGGAAACTCAAAAATAGACCATCGATGCTCAGCACTGAAGGTTGTTTTCAGAAATGACTCATTTGCCATCTGTTGTTAACGCATGGAACTGCAGAATTATTAAAGAGGATCCAAAGTTGTGCTGACATTATCACTGCATTTCACACATAAGAAACCTGCATTTTCATCCATGGAAATGTTCTTCATGTCACAAAATTATAATACAGAGTGCTGCATTTCATTAAGATGACCAACTTTTCTTACCCAACAGTCATTTGTGAAAAATGGGGACTTGAGGGGTATGTTCAATGCCCTGTTTTTCATACTTGGCTAAATTAGGATAGTTTGGTTTTACCCTAATGCTACAGGACCACACCAAAGCCAAACGTGCTTTACAAATGCAAATACAGCTTTTCTCTCCAGGATATAAGATGTATCTTCTGAATCAGTCCTGGTGAAACAGCTTGGCTGTGTGTGATCCTCTGGCTTTCTCCTGCAGCCATCTGAATGTTCCCCTTGCCACCACTAAAAGCCAGTCTCCTCCCCATTTCCTGGAGCTCACGTCCCCTGTGGCAGCCTTCTGAGAGTAGATGCCAGTAGTGCGTCTTGTAGCAGATACCCTGGTAGCTGTGCTCAGAGGCCAACCATAAAGCGTGCCAGGTGCAATCCCTTTGGAGGCACTGTGAAAGTAATAAACAGGCAGATCCTGCCTTCCCTTATGGACTGGTAACTTCTGTTTTATGTGTATTTAATATGCAAGGCTGTTCCAGGGGATCCCTTGCAGCTCTCATGGCCAAAGGATCCAGGCTTTCTGTCTTTGTGCTTTTTTGAACTTGGGATTTGTCCGCTTCAGGTATGGCAGGAGCTATCCACTTCCTCTCCGACATAATTGACCCCCAGAACTCCCGCTTCCCAGCATTTGAACTCGGCCCTCAAAGGAAAGAAAGCAAAGAGGAGCAGAACAGCTAAATGGAAACTGGAGATAATGCCCAAAGCAACATGACTGCTTAGTGCCTCAAGTGAAACTGAACCAACGTTGGGAGTCTGGAGGAAAAACTCTTTCTCGCCTGTTCTCCAAAGAACCACGCTTGTCGTTACTGCATGAGCGAGAGAATTCCACATTTCAATGTTTCATTCTAAGAGATGCCTTGAGCTGTGGCAGTGATCAGGCTTAAGTTCATTGGGACTCTTGCTTTTTCAGTTTTCACAGTTGTCCTTCCAGGTCTTTCTGGGTGTGTTTGCATGTTCCTTGGTGTTGTCCGTAACTGTAAAGTTTTTTCCGTTCATTGTGAAGCTGAAAACTGGTCAGTGACATCTTGTCCTGCTTGTTTTTCTGTGCATGGCTGTAATGACAGCACACACCTCTCCACCGCTGAAACAGGACCTCACATTTGGAACACTCTCTCTGCCTATTAGCTACCATGAATGAATGAGGGAGGCAAGCCCAGCCAAACGCACAGCTTGGTTGACCCTTTTCTGGACTCACAACTTCAAAGTCATTGAACATTCCTTCCACCCCACCCCAAGACATCAAGAGCATGGTCCAGTCAGAGTTAAGAACCTTTTAAAAAAATAAATCTCCTATTGATTTTCTTGAAGAGGTTAACCGTATGATTAAAATTCTGCCGTTGAAATCAGTTACCCGACGTCTGGCCAAATTATTCCCCAAATCTATCTCCCCCTGCCCACCATGGGGACTTTTTAAGGCTTTCAATATACCTAAAGTGAATCACGAATGTTGCACTGGTTTCCATGGGAAAAAATTAAACAGTTACTGCACTCTCCTGTCGAGATGCGTGGGGCTGGATTGAGCCTCCAAGAGTGAAGCTCACTTCAAATTAAATAGGTGAGCATTACATCTTCTGTGCCTCCCACCCCTGAAATAAGTCTACAATGCACATTTTCAAAAGTACTTCTATGAGATTTTCAGATTTGAAAACTCTCTTAAGTGCTTTCTGAAACACAAGATCCTTTCAATGTAGGGAGGGGGCCATAGACGTGCCCTAAGTAGCCCACATAATTCCACCAATTTTGTAGAGGAACATCATCCCTTCAGTTCTTGTGCATCATGGAAAGTTTTCTGACAAAACTAGGCAGAGCCACACAAAAGCAGTATTGGGTTCAGCCCCACAGTTTAGGGAAGGACTCTGGGAAATGAAATGGCTTACTACTGCTGTTGAAGTTTCTGAGAAGGGGCCAAGGTATCCAGTTCTAATTAATAGTAAGACTGTCAATCTCCCTGCTAGGTGACATAGACAGTCCCATTTTTGTTGCTTCACCCTCTGAAAGGTTGCTTTGTTGTTGTTCCTCTGTCTGAAGAGCTACATAGTGAGTGTGTCACTCAGGCCCTGAGTCACAACTTTGTTTTGTTTACATTTTGCTCTTCCACATCTTCTAAAAGAAATTTTTGACAATTTGCATTGCTGGGTGTACTTTTTATATGAGAGAAATTTGGCTTCTTGAATAGCTTCCAGTCACCGTTGCTGAGAAGTGAATCCCACTTCCTAGATAGGATGTTTAAAGGTTGTTGTATCAAATTGTTCTGAGTTTTGTTGCACTGCTTTATTCTAACAGAAAAAGGACAGCCTCTCAACATAAATGAGAGTGTTTTGGAAGAAGGGGTCGTGGATTAGGGGGAAAGTCAGTTATCACAATGTTTTGCTGTTAAAGTTGTTTTCAAAAAAAATAAATTTAGCAAAATACAGATGTGTTCTGAACAATTTTTCTTACGTACCTGCCTATGTGCTCTGACAACAGACAGCATTAGTTGAAACTACATGTTACACATGACATAGGTCTACTACTAGCGCCACCAAAACTGGCAGCACTGCGCAAGCTCCCCTCCATCCACTGGGATTTCTTACAGTGTTACGTGGCATCATCACACTGAGTTTATCAACACTTTCATGGCTGACAGAGACATGGAAACTTCCAACATGATGCTATTGTAGTGCAACGTATGACATTTACCGTATTTTTCGCTCCATAAGACGCACTTTTTCCACTTAAAATCTAAGGGGAAATGTCTGTGCGTCTTATGGAGCGAATGTTTGGTCCCTGGTGCTGGGGGGTAACCCAGGCTTCCCCTGCCAGCCCCGACAAGCCCTGGGAGCCGCGGGAAGGCTGCGCAGCCTTTCCGCTGCTCCCCGACCTGCTCTTTGGGGCTGGGGGTGGCAGAAAGCCGGGATTCCCCCACCGCCAGCCCCACAAGCTCTGGGAGCAGCGGGAAGGCTGCGCAGCCTTCCCGCTGCTCCCTGAAAGGAACCCGAAGCCTCTGGAGCGCAGCGGGAACTCCCGGATTGCCTTCACTGAAGCCTGGAGAGCGAGAGGGGTCGGTGCACACTCTCCAGGCTTCCAAGGTAGCTGCCTGAAGCCTCCAGAGCACAGCGGGAAATCCTGCTGCGCTCCAGAGGCTTTGGGTTGCCTTCACTGAAGGCGACTGAGCGCACTGAACGCACCTTGTTTTAGAGGGGGAGAACAAGAAAAAAAAATTTCCCCCTCTGCGCAGCGCCCGTTCAGCGAAGCAACAGGAGAAATGGAAGGGGCTCCGTTTCTCCTGCCGCTTCACTGAAGGGGTGCTGCACTGAGGGGGAGAATTTTTTTTCTTGTTCTCCCCCTCTAAAACAAGGTGGGTCCTATGGTCGGGTGCGTCCTATAGAGCGAAAAATATGGTTGCATATTATGGTTGACTGTGGGAGATCCCAGCACTATCATTTGGGACAGCAGCCTTGTTTCATTCTTATGTAACTACAGCTGTGTAACTTGATCCCCTCCATGTTTTAAGTCCCACTGGGTTGGGTGAGACTTGCTCCCAAGGAACCCTGCACAGAATTGCAGCCTTTTCCCACTAAGTGATTTGTGTGAAAGGTATTTGCTATTGGTGAGATTGAAATGGATGAGCCTCCCTTTTGGAAATGCCTCCAGGCTTTACCTGCAGCCTGTTGTCTTTGCTCAATTTTGCTTGACACTTTAATTTATTCACTTGTTTTAAAATACTTGGTGTGTTTTGTAGTGGTGCTCTAAGCGAGTCAGCCCCTGAATTGAATAGGCTTTCTTGCTCCCGATAAGAAAATTATTCAGACAGTTCATTTTCGTAACAAAAAGCCTCTCACTTCAGATGATTTGCCTTAGAGCTGCTCCATACTTGTCACTCATTTATAGCACAGTCAGTAGAGCATGAGACCCTCATTCACAGGGTTGTGGGTTCAAGCCCCACGTTGGGCAAATTCCCCCCATTCCAATGTATTGGACTAGAGGATCTTCGTGGTCCCATCCAACTCTTATTCTCTATGAAGGAGGGATTCACTAGGGCATGTTCATAAATCTTAAAATTGCTTATCTTCAGTCACACAGGATAATTCTCTTGAATCAACATGGATTTTGTTGCCTTCCACTCTGCTTCCCCATAGATAGCTGATCAGTGGCATTCAACATATCTAGCCAGGTCTAGTATGCATGCACAGCCCCAGCTGGCAGATCAGGCATATACATGTTTTCCCAAATGGTTAGGAAGACAGGAGAATTGCTAGGCACCCATTAATGGGTTGTGGCTGAGAAGTTGCACACAGCTTACATGCTTATCTGTGCCACACTACATTTTGATAATTCCAGCCACATAAGATACTATACACAGGGACTTATATTAGTCTTACAGATCGTGGGGGGGGGGGGGACTGCAGGCCTTTGGGACTCTACTCAGGCCACACCTCTCACTGGTCCTGCCCTCCTCCCCACCCTCCGCCATCCATTTTTCTGTCTGGCTGGATATATCTTTGAATTGTAATAATGCCTCTTGTGTACCTGCATGGTGAGATGTCCATGTAGAACCCTTGGCGTTTTACGTAGCAAGACTGCAGCCTACTGTGCAAAGGTAAGAGAGGGATCTGTTGCCCTAACCAACCAACCAACAGCACCTGGTCTACAGAAGGCTGCCCCCCTAGAAAATGCAGCTCAAGTTGAAAAAAGTTCCCCACTTCTTGTTGTAGATTTAGACCCTGAGAAAACAATTACATTATAAAGTAATAGAATGTGGTGTATTATTAGGCAGGCTAAGTTAACATCTAAGGATGTGTGCAAGAGAGATGCATATATTCTCTTTCAATTTCATTTGTGGTGGCAGAGAGTGAAAAACACCAGGATTCCAGAGTCTCCATTAAAACAAATGACAGGCAGTGAGTTTGTAAGATACAATTAAACACTTGGCAAAATGGGAAACTGCACGACATGAATGGCTGTATGGCCAAGAGGAATTTTTCCTGTTTTTTCCGCAGCAGCCCTTGCCATATCGAAGTCCCACAGCCAGCTCCTCTCATTGCTTTATTATTGGAAATAACATCATTTTTCAGTCCACAACTGAATTATGGATTACGTGCTTTAATTCTCATGGAGGGCATTGGCTGATATTAATGAGGCCTATTGCCTCAGGAGGGATATGTGAATACAGTGACTCATGAGGCCCACTCTACTCTCCTGATTCTCTGATAATGGAAGCTGGATATCATAATTCTGAAGGGAGAAAGAAACCAAGACAAAGAGACCTGCACTGTGGCAGGTCTCATTAGCAATCAGAGCCACATCCCTGGCAGCTGGTTTGCAAGCTCCTATTAGCATACTTGCCCTAAAGGGGCTCTCCTCTTCTTTGGCAAAGGTGCATTAATTATCATGGATTTGACAGTAAATCCAACGGGATGCACTGCTGTCTATGAAGCTGAGATGGAGACAAAATAACAATGCCTCTTTGTGATGAACCTTTGGCACCTGGCAAGCAGGCTGTAGTTACCTGGACTGCCAGATATCTTGATTAGAATGTGGTTAACTGGCATGAGATGGGCTCTGCGAGGGCTGAAGCCATTATTGAAAGAGCATAGCTCAAGGCAAGGGCATTGATGCCCATCTGGTCATTCAGATTAGCACAGCAAGTTATATGATGGGCCGTAGGTGGAGCTTCTGGTCAATTGTGGGTCAAGCTTCACAGAAACATTGTCTTACCTCAGACAACGTTACTATACACAGGTGAAAATTAGCAAAGATGTATAGAACTGCCTCAAATGTTTGTTGGAAATGCAAGGAGAAAGAAGGCACATTCTACCACATGTGGTGGATGTGCAAGATAACAAAAGCATTATGGGAAATGATGTACAATGAGTTGAAAAAATGTTTAAAATAACGTTTGTTACAGAGGCTTTTTTGCTAGGTGTTCTAGGTACAGAGATTCCAAAGGAGCAGAAACAATTATTCATGTTTGCGATGACAGCAGCATGGATACTATTGACCCAGAGATGGAAAGAAGATAAAGTTCCAACCAGAGACAAATGGCTGATGATGGTGGACTACGCCGAAATGGCAAAATTGACTGGGAAAATCAGAAACTAGGAAGAGAAGAATTTTAAGAAGGAATGGGGAAAAAATATAATGTATTTAAGAGAACACTGTAAACAACTAAAAACTATGGCAGGATTTGAGCAATGCTTGTAATGTACGAAAAACTATGGTAAAAATGGATTATTTTTCTTAAAGAAAATAAGAGAAGCAGTTGGGGCAAAATAGATTGATAATGGTAACCATGGAAGGGCAGGGGGGAGTCAAAGGATTCAGGGAATCCTAAATGGTGATGTGGATGTTTTATTTGAATTTGAATTTGTTATGTAAAACTTAATAAAAATATATATATTTTAAAAAACTATACTAATAATAATAATAATAATAATAATAATTAATAATGTGTAATAAAACTATACACAGGCGAAATGCTGACTAGCTGAGAAGCTTCCCTTTGCTGCTTTTTGTGACCCATCACTGCACATCTCATCCAGCAAAATAGTCAGGCCACAGGGAAGGGATATAATTAAGCACATCGTGGTTGCTAAGCTACAACATTGCTTGAGCCTAAGTGCTTCTGTTTTGACCTGTAAGGTGAATGCACAACAATTTCTACCACCTTTTCCTGAGTGCAGCAACAATACATTCAAATGGAGATTTTTTAATCACAGTTGGTATCTGTATTGGATGCTGTCAGGGACCGGGCTGAGAAGGGCTGCTCTGAGGAAGAATGGTGGGAGCCACCCCCGCCTCCTGATCCTGAATCTTCCCAGGAGCAGGAGGACAGTATAGATTTGGAACAGTGGTTTGCAGAGGGGCATAGCTCAGAAGGCAGAAGCTGGGAAATACTGAATGGGGAACAGCTAGGAGAAGAAACACTGGGGGAAAGAGGGTTAACAGATTCACAGTCTCTGGACAGCATTCACCCCACCCTTCCCCAAAGACACGGAGAGCTCAGAAAGTGTCAGAACAGAAAGCCCTGAGGCTACAAACTCAGATTACACAATGTAGGAGTGACGTAGATTAACAGGGATGGAGCACTGCCATTTCTAGGAGACGTGTTCTTTTTTATCTCACTGTGATTATTAAAGGACTAACTGGTAATATGTTCCTTTCGTTTGATCTTTTTTATTTACTGCCATGGAGAGAGGAAGCCAATTCCCTGAAGCCTAACAGATGCATAGGAGCCAACTGTTGTTGTTGATTTATATACTGCGCTATAACCGCAGGTCTCAGGGGCCGAGGGGTCTTTGCACTCCCACTAAAATATTTGAGGGGGCTGCCCCCCCAGTTGATGGGCATTGCCATTCAGTGTGGGTGTGCGCACCTCATCATGTGACCAGTTATGTGGGGCGGGGATTACCTGCCCCATCCCTAATATTTTATTCAAGCTGGCACACCTGAGGGGATGTGAATTGTTCTCATGTATCTCCTACTGATGTTGTTTTAAATGGCTCATGTCTATATATAATGGGTTTTTCAAACTGTTTTATATATGCAGCTGTTTAACTGTTCTAGATATAGATATAACTGTTTTATACATGCTTTTATTATAGTGTAAATTGCTTCAGGATGCCTCAAGGGAAGCAATTCATGAATGAAATGAAAGACAACAACATGGTCAAACAAAATTGAAATTTGCTTGGGGGGGGGAGTAATATTGGGGTAAACTTAGAACATCTCTGCACCAATTTGGGGACACAATATCCAACTTTCAGATTGGGAAAGGTTATGAAAAACCAATTTGAAACTCATGGCATGTTGTACACTGAAAGAAAACTATATGAAAGTGACGTACCGATGGTATCTGACTCCCAGTAAGTTAGCAAAAATGTATAAGTCATCTACAAATATCTGTTGGAAATGTAAAGAAAAGGAAGGCACCTTTTATCATATGTGGTGGTCTTGTAAGGTAATAAAAGCATTCTGGGAAATGATATATAATGAGATGAAAAAAAATGTTTAAATTAACTTTTGTTTAAAAAAACAATAGAGGCTTTTTAATTAGGAATTATAGGTGCTGATATTCCAAGGGAGCAGAAAAGACTTTTGATGTATGTGATGACAGCCGCTCAGATGCTATTAGCCCAGAGATGGAAAGAAGATAAAGTCCCTACCAGAGAAGAATGGTAAATTAAACTATTGGATTATGCCCAAATAGCAAAGTTGACTGGGAAGCTCACGAACCAAGAAGACCAAAACTTTAACAAAGAATGGGGGAAATTCATAATTTATCTTGGAGACCACTGTAAGCAGATGGGAAAAAAGCAGGATTTCAATAAGACTTGTAATGTAGCAAGTATTGTGGAGACAATGGAGTTATATAAAACATAGATTATTTGAAAAGATGCAGTAGAAAAGGTTTAATAATTCTTTGGAGGAAGCCAGGGTTGTTTAAAGTGGTATGATACTGCTTTCAAGGTAGCATGGCCTCCAACATGCTGAGTCCCCAAACCGGGACACGTGTCTTGCCGTCCATGCTCCCCCATGAGTCACGTGACTTGCATGAGATCATGGAGCCCAAAAGCATTGGTTTTGGGGTGCCGAACAAGATCGTGATCCCAAAAAAGTGCTTTTCCAGGAATACGCAGAAATGGTGAAACTTACCAGAAAATCAAGATAACAAACTTTTTTATAAAAGAATGGAAATGGTTTATTGGATATTTACAGATAAATTGTAAACAGATAAAAACATTGGCAGGATTAATGTAATAACCTGCAGTTCTATAAGAAATTGGCATGTCCAAGCTGACATGTTTAATCAGAGAGAAGTCATGGTCAAGATTGGAAATTTTTGCGTGAAAGAGAAAATGAGCTGGTCTGTAGAAAGTGGATTTGTTGCTCAGGAGCTGCCGGCCTCTGCAAGGGCTCGAAAGGTGTCTGAAGGAGCTCCCCCTGAGCTCGCC